TTCTCTTTTTTTCTCTCACTGATTTCCTTTCAGATGAGGATACTATCAATATTCTTCTCTCTGATTTTGCTCTCGTACAGCAAAGTGCTAGGGTGAGACTCTTCTTCTTCACTAAACCATGACGATATTAGCAGATTTATTCCAGCTCACGTCGTCATCGACAACCTGCCACAGAAGGTGAAATTCATGCTCTATTGGTGGCTGGTTCGAATGGCTGGTATAATTATCGTCATCAGGTTGGGAAAATTTCATTTTTATACGTGACGAAGGACCGGGAGACTTGTCAACCTGAGAAGGGCCACCGGTAAAGCATATCCAACATTTAATTAAGGCGGACGTTGGTCATGCATACCATACCCTGAAGCGCCACGGCCTTGCTGATGAAAACATTATAGTAATGATGTATGACGACATCGCCCACAACAAACAGTGAGTTACTTGTTGTAATTTTGACGATACTGTAGATACAACCCCTTATTTTGAAGGAATCCGTATCCTGGCAAAATGTACAACAGACCACACGGAGACGATATCTACAAAGGACTGAAAATTGATTACAAAGTAAAGACATTACCAAATAAGTTCCTTTCTGTAAATAGATACCGTGCAGATACCAGCTGTGTGGAGGGACACGTCCTCAGGTGTGATAGTGTATCATATTCTCCTCTCAAAAAAGGCAAAAATGAAGCTGGAGAATCACTTAAGCCCCTTGTCTCCGCTCGCTATTCGATACATGATGGGCACGCCACACGTCATGAGGCAGCGTTCGGACTTCGCGTCGACGTGCTGCAACGCGCTGTAACGCGCGTCGGCGCCGTACAATTGCAGCAGCGCTACGAAGCTATAAACGCGAACGCAGCCGCAGATGGCCTGTGCCGATCGATACCAAACTAGGCAACACCCTATCCTATTCCCTCATATTCTCTAGAAACACAAGCGGCCACCGATACCCGACTGCGGCTGCGCTCCCGAAGAGAATTGATCGGCGCCGGTCATCTGCAGCCGCGTTTGCGCCTATAACAGTGGAGCGCCGTTGCAACGCTGCCTGAGCCTATTGCCGAGACCAGAGGTATGGGATTCAGCAGCAAGAGGGTACGCACGCCTTCGAGGTTGAGTAGTAGAGTGTGTCTACGACTGAACGTAAGGCTAGCCGTATGGCGGTTTGCGTTTTTGACACATGCTCTCACGTGCCGTGTGGTGGGCGGTGACATAACCCTAGAGCTTTTACAATGCCCCACGTTTATTTCTCCTCATTTCCGCGCACTTACGAGTGTCAAATGTGGTACAGTTCTACCGCTGCTGACCTGCCACACTATGTCAAAACTGCTAGATATGTACCTCCGATGAAACTCGTATGCGATATCCTTACAGGGCTCCTCAGTTACGCCTAAGAATTTTCTCAACATTCTCAAGGGCAATGCAAGCGGTGTTGAAGGAGGAAATGGAAGGGTTATTGAAAGGTAAATTTTTCTTCTTCGATTCACGGCAAACTCCGAGCTAATATCAATTTTTGATTGCAGCAACCCGAATGATCGGATTTTTGTCTACTTCACTGACCATGGAGCCGTGGGCCTCATAGCGTTCCCGGATGAGATGGTGTGAACGCTCCTACTTTTTTTAGATATTTGTGATTTCTTTTTCCCCTTCGTGAACGATACGTACTGTTGCAGTTGACTGTGAAAGAACTGAACAGTGCCCTGAACTGGATGCACTCCAATGATCGCTACAATCAGCTGGTATTCTACCTGGAGTCCTGTGAAAGCGGTTCGATGTTCGAGAATGTTCTGAAGAGCACCATAAATGGTAAGTTTCAGTTACACCAGAGGTGCTGACAGAGGTCCGTCGAGCGTTACGTGGCCCCAACGGTG